ATAAAAAAGAGTAAATCCTGAGTTCTCATTTAAAAAGAAAAAGAAAATATGTTTCTGTTACTTAAGCTACCCAGTCTAAGGTATTTTGTTATGGCATCCTGAGCTAAGACACTTACTATGTTCAAAGAAATGAAAGTCAATATGGAAATTTTTAAGAGAACTAGAAATGATAAAAATGATACAGCAGATTTGAAGAAAACAGAAATTCTAGAATTTAAAAATACAGAAGTCAACATAAGAAACTCAATGAATAGATTTAAGAACAGGATATATACAGCTGAAGAGAAAATTCGTAAATTAAAAGATCAGAATAATTTATCTAGAAAGAATCACAGAGACAAAGAATTGGAAACTACAGAAGAAAAGGATAGATGTAGTATAACTTAATCCTTAGGAAGCGACAAAAGGATAGTAGGCATGGACAGTTGATTCAAGAAATCTGACTTCTAAGAGAAGGCATGTGTTGGGAAATCATATGAAATATGAATTTTCTAAAACCAATGAAAGGGTCAACGTTTAAGAAGGCTTCTTAACCCCAAGTAGACAAAATAAAAAGAAATCTATACCTAGATGCATTTTAATATGACTACTGAAAACAAAAGAAAAGAAAAGAAAATCTTAAAACTGTTGAGAGAGAAAAGATGAATTACCTTCATAAGAGCAATAATTAAGCTGAGAGTTGACTTCTCACCAGAAACAAAGCCAGGAAATACTGGAATGATATCTTCAATATGCTTAAATAGTATAATAAAATAGGATTCTATACCTTTCAAAAATATCCTTGAGAATGACAATAAAAGACATTTTCAGATAAATGAAACAGAAAATTTGTCACTAGGAGATTTGCCCTACAATAAATCACTAAAGGGTGTTCTTCAAGCAGAAGGAAAATTATCCCAGTTGGAAGGTTGGAGATAAATGAAGGATCAACATGTGGATAAATATTTATTGATGGCATATAACAAAATTAGAAGAAACAGCAAAAATAGCAGCAGTACAGTTATACAACAACAATAGTATATAAGTCAGAAAGGGCATAGATGGGTTAAATTGTCCCAAGGCACTTGCATTGTCTAGGAAGAGGATAAAAGTATCACCTAACATTACAGTTGATAACTCAGGAAACGTTTTGTATCCTTTAGGGTAAATCCTAAAGGATAGTGAAAAGATGTATGACATCTAAACTAATAGAAGAAAATGAAATAAATAAAAAACACTCAATACAAAAGGAGGACAGAAGGAGAGAAAAAGGAAACAGAACCAACAGAAAGCACTGAATAAAATGGTAGGTGTTTATCATTGATTCATCATTTAATTTACATTAAATGTAGACAGACTAAATGCTCAAAGTAAAGTCAGAATTTGTCAGACTGAATTTAAAAAATAACTCAATTGTATGCCTTTTATATGTAAGATCTAAATATGCAGAATGGTTACAAGTCAAAGGAAAGTAAAAGATACCATGAAAACACCATCCACAGGAAAGCTGATGTTAACTATATTAATGACAAACAAAGAAGACTTTAAGCCAGAAAGCACTTACTAGAGCAAAAGAGGGACACTTCATAAAGATAAAGGTTTAATTCATTGGGAAGGTATAATGAGTCACAATTTGAATATATCTAATAACATAGCCTCAACCTATATGAAGCAAAGGTTAAGAGAGCTGCAAGGAGAAATAGAAAAATCCGTAATAATGCTGGGAATTTTAATCTCTATCAGGAACTGATATGGCAAGCAGAGGGAAAAAACTAAAAAATAGAAGATTTGAGACATATAGTTAAGAAACTTCACCTAATAGACATTTATAGAATATTATACCCAACAACTCCAGGATGCAAATTATTTTCAAGCACACAGAGAACATTTGCAAAAACTGACTACATACTGTGTCATAAAGCAAGTGTCAACTATTTCAAAGTTGAAATCATGGCAAAGTGTGTTCTCTGATAAAAATGTAATGAAACTAGAAATCAATGACAAGGTAATTCTAATTTGTTTGGAAATTAGGAAATTCAGTTGTAAATAATCTGTTCATCAAAGAAAATACCAGAATAGAAACTTGAAAATATTTTGAACTGAAAAATGACCAAAATGCTACATATATATCCAACATGTAAAATGGGACTGATGTGGTGCTTAGATGGAAATTTGTAGGCTTAAAGGCATTTATTAGAAGAGAAAAGGTGAAAGTAAGAGTATCCTTTTCCAGAATTTAGAAAAAGAATGGCAAATTAGATGCAAAAAAAGTAAAAGGAAGGAAACAAAAGTAACAGGAATTAATAAAACAAAATAGACATGTCTTCTGATTCTAAGTAGATACAGTAGGTAGCTTCAACAATTAGAGAAAATTATGGATATATTGTAAACGTAACCTTTCAGAGACAGTGAAGAGCTCTGGCAATAAAGGGGAACTCGATGAGCTAAAATGTTAGAGAGGAAAGAGTCCTTCCTAAGTGATCTAAGATCACTGGCCATTTTCTTCCCTTGAGGCACTGGCCAAATCTGGTTTTAAGACTTTACTAAGGGAAACAGAAACCAGCAAGACTTTTAAAAACTGTGTGAGTAAGCATGATGTTGGAATCTGGAGGAGCCCCAGACGTAAGGCCAAATTTCCCCAGAATGTCAGCTTTAGGTTTTTGGTAGATAACCCCTTTATTAGTAGAAAGATGTTTGAATCTATCATGTGTTATTTAGCCAGCTGTGTCAATGTGATCCTCACTCAGCCTCATGGATTTATCCATTGTTAATTCATTGTTCCATGAATATTTTTTTGTCAGAAATAGCAGAATATCCTGAATTTCCCTACCACCGTGATGTTTGATGGCTTAGCAGTGGTAACATTTTTGTGTGATTTTTTGAGCTTAGAACAAGATTGAGATTTTTCTAAGAAAACTACCCTTCACCACCATCATGGAACACTGAATGACTTTGGAAATTAGCTCTTGCTGCAGACTTGGTAATATTTTATAATGAATCCAATCTAAAATTACAAGGCAAAACAGAACCTGTATGTAGAATTTATATTATGGTAAAGTCATTTCAATGGCAACTAACATTGTCTGAATCACTAGTAATAGTAAGCTGCTTTATATACTTCCTGTGCTGCCAAAGCTAAAAAAACAAGGTGTCCACTCCCATGCATATTTGCAGTGAATGTATTTTCTGAGCTTAAACTATACTTCCAGGAGCGTTTTTTGGACCTTGAAACAAGTGCAAAGGAAATTTCTATATTTCAAAGTTATTTAACTGTGCAGTGGAGGCATGTCCATCTAACCTTCATGGAAGTGATTAATCTGCATTATAATGATGTGCTAAAAGGCAAATATCAAGAGAAGAATCTAATGGACTTCTATAAATGCCTTCCAAGCAATAAATATGCACAATTAAAAGCACATGCTTATGGATTCAGATCAGTATTGCCAGCACCTATCTGTGAAAGACATTTTTTTAAATTGAAGTATAGTTGATATACATATTTTGTTGGTTTCAGGTGTACAGCAAAGTGATTCAGTTTTAAAATTCTTTTCCATTATACGTTATTACAAGATACTGAATATAATTCCCTGTGCTATACAGCAAATCCTTATTGTTTATCTATTTTATATATGGTAGTGTGTATCTATTAATCATATATTCCTAATTTTTCCCTCCCTGCCCTTTTCCCCTTTGGTAACCATAAGTTTGTTTTCTATGTCTGTGAGTCTGTTTCTGTTCTGTACTATTTTTTAGATTCCACATATAAGTGATATCATATAATATTTGTCTTAAAGACATTTTCGAAACTGCAATGGGGGGAAGTCTCATTACACATCACCATTAACAGATGAACATTTGCAATCACTTTAAACTACCTGAACCCCAATTAAGCAAAATGTTATCCCCTAAATAAGAGTTTCATTCTTTTTTTCAGGAGACCTGTATTACAAAAAACTGTAGGCAATTATTATTACTATCTTCTGAATTTCATCAATAAAAATTTGTGAAAATTTGTTTTCTTTCTTGTTATTTTAGTACCTATATAATATGCTTGATTTTGTCTTTTGGCCCACAAAGTCTAAAATATTTACTGTCAGGCCCTTTGCAGAAAAAGTTTGTTAATTCCTACTCTACAGCAGATAAAAAGAGTGAAAAAGAACTAAAGACAAACACATGGATGAATCTCACAAATATAATAAGAACTGAAAGAAGCCAAATCCAAAAAAAAAAAAAAAATCTACAGTATGAGTCTATTTATATAAAATTTCAAAATCAGCACTAAACTGTGTGTTGAGGAATGTACACTTAGGTAATGATATAAAGAAAAGCAAGGAAGTGATTACTGTAAAAATCAAATAAAAATCAGAATAGTGATTTCTTTTAGAGGGTAAGAAGAGGGTTGTGATTGGAACAAAGTGAGGGCTTATGGGATTTTTTGCTCTGGGTGGTATTTACAGAGATGAGCAGTACACATTAATTCATTAAGCTGTACAATGATTTTTTTTTGTACTTTCCTTTGTGTGTCATATTCTGTAGTTAAAAGTTAGAAATACCTATGTAGATATATGAACATGTACATACATGCATTATGCTTACAATATACACAGAATAATCCTAGAAAGATCAATGTGAACTTGTTAAGTAGTTGTTGTTGGCATGGAAACTGAGGACTGTAGGTCAGACTGGGGGAAAAGAGGCTTACTTTCCATATGTTTCTGTCCTTTTGTAGTTTGAATTTTTTTTTTACTATATACACATATTAATTTTTAAGTTATACCAGTTAATGTAAAGTCTTTTTTCAAGTTGTAGAATTTGGAAACTGAGACTAACTGAGGTGAGTTAGGAAACGTTTGGATCATGGGGCCTGTAAGCGGCAGAGCTGGGATATGTCTGGGGCTGTGTGACTTCAAAACCAGGACTCTGTGTAATTGTATGACAGTAATCTTTTGGATGTGTTCATCTGATAATGATTGTTTCTAAAAAGATGATGTAATCATAAATATTTGTGTTGTTTTTTACAGACTATGATCTTTTTTAAAAAGAAGCTGTACAAATCATCATAGAGCATTCCAGTCCTCTGTGCTTCTCCTAAGATGTGCAGCTCTTACAGGCTTGTCAATATGTGATGCATGAGAAAACAGATTTATTTTCTTTAAACTCCCAATAATTTAAAATGATTTTCAGTAATAATAATCAAATGAAGGAGCCTTATTCTCTTTGGTGTTTCCCAGAGGCTCTACTTCAAGAGAAAATTTTCTCATGTCTCATTTCAACATTTCGTTAACTATGAAGATATGCCAGCTTGTTGAATCAAATAAAAAATGTTACTGGATATTTAAGTGGTTTTGGCTTGCTATTCATAGTGCATTGGCATTATCTGTTAAGACTGAAAATATGCAATCCCCATGACCCAGCATTTCATTCTCACAACATTTCATTCTCTGGAAGAAATGCACGAGTATCTACACCAACAGGCATGACAAGAATGCTGTAGCAGTACTATTCATGCTGGCCCCAAATGTCTATCTACATAGGAATAGAAAAGTAAACCTTGGTATATCCATACAATGGCACATCAAGTCACCATTGAGCTTTAGCTCTGAGAAGTATATTCATGCAACACCCATGGAGAGGGTGCTGCTGGAGAGCAATCTGCCCATCCTACATGTTGACAAGTGTCAGGGCTGAATGGATCTCTCCTCATTTAAAGATCAGTAAACAGGAAAAACAATAAATAAACAAAAGCATCCACAACAAATCAACATGGGACCCATGTAAAGAACTTATAAAAGAAAATGTATGTTATCGGAAAACAATAAAAGCTTATCTTAGAAAATATCTTACTGTAATAGGGAAGAGCTAGTTCTGACTCCATGTTGGATCTGTTTCTTTTACTTTAACCTTTGCTTTTCATTGCTTTTGTTACTAGAGTCACTGTCTATAACTGTAAGCTTAATGGCCTGCCACAGGGAACCCTGCTCCTCTGCCTGTTAAACTACAGTGGCCTTTGTTCAGCTCACAGAGAGACATTCTGACCCTGTCCACCTGTGAATGGCTGCAGAAAAGAAGAAATTAACACATCCCCTCCTCAATGCGGCCAAGCAAGGAGATATTTACAAGATAAACGGCCTTTTTACTTTACTTCCTCACCTCCTCCCCCTCTCTGTTCTATAAAAGAAACTGGCATCCAGACGTGGATAAGATGGTTATGTTGAGTCTTTAGTCTGCTATCTTCTTGGCCTGCTGGCTTTCCGAATAAAGTCACTATTCCTTGCCTCAACACCTCATCTCCTGATTTATTGGCCTGTCGTGCGGTGAGCAGAGTGAGCTTGGACTCGGTAACAAATTTGGCTTAGCCAGCCAGGAGCCTTGCTGCTTGTGGCTAGCCAGCCCCCGTCAGGGAATATCGGAGCAAGGCCCTAGCAGCTGCCAGGACCATTTGTCCCGTGGATCTTTCCTTCAGAACTCCCTGAAGTGGCACCAGCTACCCCAGCACTTGGCAGTTGGTACAAGGAACTGAAAAACTTCTATGAGTCGACAGACTCAATTCTGGAGGGTAAGTTGCTCAGGTGTGCACACCGGGACCATACTCCCCCCTCAATTTGGGCTTTTCCTTTATAAGACAAGCTAATTTGTTTGGTTGGGGTACCCTGTTGGAGAGGGGAATTGTTGGACTCTACCTGATTTGGGAACGGGTTCACTGGTTTTGGTTTTGTGTGCGTCAATGTTGGAATTTGTGCTTTTTGTGTTGGAATTTGTTTGCATCTTTTGTGTTTTGGTGTCATCAAACTTATGAAAATGGGAAATAACTATCCTGAAGGAGAGCCTTTTGGGGGTGTATATTAAATAAATGGGCAAAACATAGATGTGAACCTATGACTAAGAGAGACATGATATACTATTGTAATAGGGTGTGGACCCAATATATGTTAAGTTCAGAAGAGCAATGGCCCCTGAATGACTCACTCAATTATTATACGATCTCACAATTAGAAGTGTTTTGCAAAAGAGCAAAGAAAAGAGATGAGATTCCATATGTAGGAGCATTTATGCTATTGCATCAGGAGGAAAAGGAGTCAGAGGGCTGCCACCTTACGGTGCAGTGGTCTGAAAGGAAACCCAAGGGGAAACCTGTTCTACAAGAAGAGGGAGAAAATGAGAGTGGGGACATGTTACTTCAAAATCTAAAGCCCCTCCGGCCTATCCAGCCCCCCCACTGGCCGAGCAGGCTGCACCGGCAGTTGTTCCATCTGCCCCCGCCATGCCGCCAACATATTCACCGCCTCCTGTTTCTCCTACCCATGGGGATCAAATAGAAGTTTCTATATTAACCCCTGGAGCATAGGGACGTGGTTTAATATTACCATCTAAGACCCGACAGGGCACCCAATTTGGACTGGGAGCCACTTCCACAGCAGGGCAATTTCCCTTGTGCTGATATCCTGTAAGAGGCCAGGGGACTCCCTTAGACTTGAGGCATCTGATTCTAATTTCCCCACAGGAGCCCTGGGTAACTCTGACAGTAGGGAACAAGTTGATTGACTTTCTAATAGATATGGTGCCACATACTATGTGGTAAACACCAAGGTGGCACAGAAAACATCTCAGTCTATCCTGGTCACAGGAATTTCTGGAGAAGTACAAAACCATTCATTCTTACAACCTCTTAGAATGACAACTAGGGAACCTCACCCTGAAACATAGCTTCTTATATATGCCAGAGTATCCAACCCCCCTTTTTTGGGACAAGTCTCCTTTGTAAATTAAATGCTCAAGTAACTTTTTCACCAGAACAGCTTGACATCAGGGCCCCACCAGAGCACTCTTTAAGCCTACAAATGGCACTCATGGAAACCCCAGAGAAGGAAACAAAGTCATCCTAGGAGAAACTTGCCTGTATCTTTGAGATTCAAATGTCCTAGCTGGTTTTCTCAAGAACTCTCATCTCTGCCATCTTTTTGAAATGCAAATTTCGAAAAGAGGGTAAAGTAATTTAGAACTTGACTTGTTTTCCCTAACTATAAGTAAAAAGGGTTGAGCCATTTAGACAAGTGAGCTTGATTTGTTCCATCTGCCAGAAACCCAATTTTAATCCAACCTCTTTTGTAAACTGATGGGTTTTACATTGCTGTACCTGACTCAGGGCTGAAATTCTGAAAGGAGAACTATGAGGTCTCTCTGTTTGTTTGTTTATGTCTTTGTCTTTGGATAACATTGCTGAGGTTAATCTGTAAATGAGCTCTATTTAATTGGCTTAAAGAAAGGTAAGCGCTTACAAACTAAACAATTCTAAATACAAGAGAAATTAAGCTAAATGAGTTTCAGGTTCTCTTGAACTGGGAAATATTTAGTATTAAATTAAAACCTCAGGGGTTTCCCTGGTGGCACAGTGGTTGAGTGCTAATGCAGGGAACATGGGTTCGAGCCCTGGTCTGGGAGGATACCAAATGCCACGGAGCAACTAGGCCCGTGAACCACAACTACTGAGCCTGCACATCTGGAGCCTGTGCTCCGCAACAAGAGAGGCCTCGATAGTGAGTGGCCCCCGCTTGCCACAACTAGAGAAAGCCCTCGCACAGAAACGAAGACCCAACACAGCAAAAATTAATTAATTAATTAATTAATTAATAAACTCCTACCCCTAACATCTTCTTTTAAAAAAAATTAATACCTGGTATTAATGTTTAAGTTTGTTGATCTAATTAATATAGACATGTCTTTAGAGTCATCAACATTAAGTATAATACTTTATTTATTTATTTATTTTTGCGGTACGCGGGCCTCTCACTGTTGTGGCCTCTCCCGTTGCGGAGCACAGGCTCCGGACGCGCAGGCTCAGCGGCCATGGCTCACGGGCCTAGCCGCTCTGCGGCATGTGGGATCTTCCCGGACCGGGGCACAAACCCGTGTCCCCTGCATCGGCAGGCAGACTCTCAACCACTGTGCCACCAGAGAAGCCCCAAGTATAATACTTTTACTGCACCTAGGTTTAATAGAAGTTAAATAAAACCTTGTTATATCTGTTGCAAACTTGTCAGCATGAAAAATAACTTGACATGATGAAATTTTAAAGTAAATGTAAATAAGAGCTTTTAGGTAAACTCTATAGGAATAATTACGTTCTGAAAATTATCTAAAATAGCTTCTCCAGATTTTGGTAACTATTACTTGCCTCTTGGTTTTCACCAGAAATTAAGCTTTTTGAGAGTCGGGATTCTAATTTAAATATGTAATTAAAGCTACTGAAAATAATAAAACATTTCATTATACAGGAGGAAAGAGCAAAATATGTTTTGAGTAAAAGGAGTTTTATGCATGGTCAGGCTGAGATTAAACTTAACTGAGTAAATGAATTTTTAAAAGCTGGTGCAAATCTTGAATCTGGCTTTTCTGTTAATAGGACAAGTTTTCTTAAAATGTCGAACTGCCTTTGATAACAGATTTTTAAGTTTCTTTACCTTTTAAGTGATCAGTTCTGTATTTACCTTTAGAATCTTTTATTGTTACTTTGGTCAATGAATAACAATTGTTTCACAGTGACCTGTGATCCTATCTGACTGAGTGTTCTAGACGCTCTAGTTTTTTGACAAAACTTCCTAAATCAAATTCTAATGAAGTCCTTTTGGACTCTAGATAACTTTGGGATTCTTCAAAGGGCTCCTGAAGCACCCCAAAGCAAGATAGGTTCATTTGGTATGTTAAATTACACGGGAAGTATTTTCAAATGAGTAATAAATCTTCTTAGGTTATACTGTATGGTAAATGTTACTAATATAGACATTCTAGAGATTATATAAAGTTTCTGAAATTTGGTATGTCCTGGTATAATGTTATAATTTTAATTGTTATCTTAAAATATTGTATGTCACAACAACTTGGATAAACTTCTTTGTCAAGAAGAATTGTAATCACATCTTTAACCTTGCCTTTTTAAGACCTTCATCATTCATAGGCAGCTAAGGTAATACTTTGCAAAACTGCCATATCTTCAAGGAGATTCATAAAAAAGAAACTTTTTAACAAATATAAGTTTCTGATAGCCTTTAGATAATACCACTGGACTGGGTAACAAATGACAAAACTAATGGGAAACCTGATTACTTCATCCAGATAAACAGGAATTAATTACATGGGACTGAATGAACTGATGAATATGGTTTATGACTTTGGGAAATATACTAGCTTTAATCTTTGTTTTCCAAAAAAACCTTTTCTCTTATGCTATGACCTAAGACAAGTTGATAAAGTATGTCTTTGTGAACAAAGATGAAACATTTATCTTTTTCTCTCTACTTGATCCTGCCAGAATTTGGCCTCTCCAGCTGGCTCTCCTGTGGACTTGATATTTTATTGCAGCTGGATTACAACTAGTTATGCTAATCATTGCTTTAATTTGTTCTTTGTTTCCAAACTGTTTGTGCTTTGTGTCTCCCTGCTGCCCTATAACTTTGTCCGTGTTACTAGCTGCATTACTTTTATCCTATTTTATAAGATTGTTGTCTATTACAGTACCTAGTGTGTAACTAGGCCTCCAACAAAATAGATGATGGTTAACATCTTGAGGAAATAGATCACATTTATAACATAAAATAATTGTAATAGTGTGATTCTAGGTATGGGAAGAAGCAACAAGGGAAAATGTCTCCTGGATCATAATTAGACAGAGGATCCAGAGAATCTTTAATTATCAGTAGGGCCTAATCCAAAAATTAGCACCTGGAGTGGCATATCAAGAATTTTTGCCTGATCTAGGATGAGCCTCCTAGCGCCGTGGGACAAATTTGATCATGAAATGTCTCCAAAACGTTGGTCAAATTCCTGACCAAGAGGGGAGGATTTGAGAAATGGAATATTTCCTGCCACATCAGTCATCGGGGATTGCAGCCCTCCAATGTGAGCTGGTGAACCCTGAGGGAACTCAGGAAGGAAAAGAATACCTGCCATCTAGCAGCCATCAGACTGCAGCCACTCCCTATGGTGAGCCCTAAGGAAACTCAGGATGTGAAAAAGCAGGATACAGGCCCCAGATAGCTGTGGTGCCTATCAAAGGAATGATTTCAGTGAGCCCAGACTCTTGCATCTTCCCATACACGGAAAAGCGCAAATTCCTTAACTTGAGATGTTGCCTCCCGGGTTTGAACTCCTAAAATAATTCCTGCTGAATAAAACATAACTCTCAACTTTTAGGTTGTGAATATTTTTTAAGTCTCTAGGTGTAAAGTAGACACTTTCCAAAGAGGAACAAAAGAAGACAAATCTCAACATTTGGAACACTGGCACCGCCGGTGGACACTCCCAGAAAGATCCATCTGATGAAGCAGTTAGGATGGTCGTCACCCCTTTTCCCATAATACTGTGGAATGGACATTGACAGTGGGGAACTGTAACAGGAAAGAGCCAATTTTGACTCCATGCTGGATCTGTTTCTTTGACTTTAACCTTTGTTTTTTGTAACTTTTGTTATAATCATACATAATGGTCCCTCTGCCTGAATGTTAAACTAAAGTGCCTTTGTTCAGCTCACTGGGAGACAATCTGACCCTGCCCACCTGTGAATGACTGCAGAAAAGAAGAAATTAATACATCCCCTCCCCGATGCTGGCCAAGCCAGGCAAAACTAATGGCCTTTTTACTTTACTTCCTCACCTCCTCCCCCTCTCTGTTCTATAAAAGAAACTGGCATCCAGACCCCCCTAAGATGGTTATTTTGAGACTTTAGTCTGCCATCTTCTCCATCTGCCAGCTTTGCTTTCCGAATAAAGTAACTATTCCTTGCCTCAACACCTCGTCTCCTGATTTATTGGCCTGTCGTGTGGCGGGCAGAGCGAGCTTGGACGTGGTAACAACATTACTATAGGAAACAACCTTTAGAAACTGCTTGGTGTTTTTAATAAGAGGCAAAAAGAAATGGCCTCTTAGAAAACTGAAGCAGGGAATCATAAGAACAGACAGAGGCTAGCCCTGGATGACCAATCCTACAAGCAGTTGGAATTCTCAGACGAAACAAAAACAAATAAAATAGAAACAATAATCAAAGTTATAACAAAAAATTTCCTGAGCTGAAAAAATACCTGATCATACAAACTTGAAAGGTTTTACCTTATCCTAGGAAAACTAGGATTGGGGCAACGTTTTTGTTTTTTTGTTTTGTTTGCCTTGAGGATCACTGACTGACAGAAAAGTACTGCACAAGTAAGAGGCAATCGAATTTTATTTTGTTCCTTTAAAATTGCTAACCTTAACTAGGTAGAGGTTATATTATTCACTTGTGAAATGGAAAATCGGGAACACAGAATGAGAAGACACGGGTTAGGGATGATGGGGTAGAAGGTGGGAGGAAGGGAACAGCAGGGGACAGGAGACTTTTTCTGTAAAGAGCCAGATGGTAACCATTTTAGACCTTGCAGGGAAGATGGTCTCTGTTGCAACTACTCAACTCTGCCATTTTAGGGTGAAAGCAGCAATGGATAACACAAAAATGAATGAATGTGGCTGTGTTCCAAAAAAGCTTCAGGTACAAAAACTGGTAGCAGGCCAGATTTGGTCCATGGGCCATAGTTTGCTCACCCCCGCTATACAGCAGTGAACTCAAGTTGAAATCAATACCTACTTCAATAAAGGATTTAAAGCAGCTTCTAATAAAGAACATATAATGAAACTTACAATAGAATATTTTCTAAAAAATCTTTATCCTTGTATCGTATTCTAAAATTAAGCTTTGTGTTTAGGCAAAAAGAACACTATAACGTATTACAAAATTCTCATTAGCTAATTGAAGTTTACCAAGAAAGGAAAACTTTTTCCTGATGCTGGCAGCCCTCTGCTTATAATGACTTGAGTTGAAACACCCCAACTTTAATAAGTCTTTGCTCTTGAAAAGAAAACATCCTGAGTGATGAGCAAAACTTGTGTTTAAAGCCACGTGATCATGACAACTGGGGCCATGTAGTGGGTTGGGGTTGCTACAGTAGTACAGTCAGTAGCAATGCACAGTCACAAAAAACTGATTTCTGAGGCGGGAAAAGTTTTTTGCATGCATGCATAATTAGTCACAGTGGATCCTTGTGCTTCTTGACCAAGGCACTGCCTCTCTTCAAAATGCTTAAGAACAGACAAGGTAAAATCCAAGGGAGAAGTTTGTAGTGTGACTAAAGGTTCGCTTTGGGATGAGAAACTGCTGGCACAAAATTGTTGGAGAGTCCAAACTCCCGAAGCACAGAGCTCCCAGACAAGTTAAAGTCTGAGTATATGTTAGTTCAGAAGGAGCTCCCACTACTGACTCTCATCCCCCTCCTCAATTCTAGATTATGGCACACACTTGGAAGGAGACTTGCATCTACTAGGAAGACTTGGAATACTTTTATGCAGCAAGCATACATGGAAAGTAGCCCAGTGGGTTTCAATCTCTAACCAATCAGA